CCTTATAGATACAAACAGTGACAATTCTTCACAGAATGGAAGAAGTTCGAAACATAGGAGAACAGCCCATCCACCAAAAATGCTCATCTCAAATTGATTAGTGAGCCAAAAAACAATACTTCACTGTTTTGGGGCCATTAGACATTCGGGGATCTCTTTATTACAGCCTATTCTACTTTACTACACTAACTCTGATGCTTTTCCCACCAAGAAAGAGGGCTCATTTCCCCATCCCCTCCATCCAGGCAGGCCACATGACTTACTTCAGTTCACAAAATGCCATGGGGGTGGTACTGTGTGACTTTATAATCTCAGGACCCCTTACAACTACCACTCTTGCTCTCATGGAACAAGAGACCCAAGCTGTTGCCCAGAGAGGCCACATGGAGTAAGGCTCAGCTGTCCCTTTCCAACCCTTCCACCAGCTGAATGAGGCCACATGAGTGAGCCCGGGCAAGATGAGCAGAAGAACTATCCAGACGAACTCAATGCGCAACATCACAGAAAAGAACAAAATGTTATCCTAAGCCCAAAATTTCTCACCTGTTAGGAAATTTAGAGATGCTTATTTCACAGAAACAGATCATTGAGAAAGAACAAAGAGTTGATAAGTGCCTGTCTACAATTTCTATGCTGTACAAATGTATCTACCCCCATATTTCCCTCCCCTTGCAATTGCGCCAATCCCCACTCAGAGCTACCTCCACTTGGCCAGTGCCTTCCAGTCCTAGTGTCATTTGCTCAGTTTCCTGATGTTCTCTGCCTTCCAGGGTCTTCCCCATCCCATTCATCCCACATCAGCAAGTGACAACCCAGGGGATGGATTGAACCCTCCACCTATTCTTGTAAAGGCTAGAAACTCAGAATAATTTTTTTACATCTTTAAATGTCAAAAAATCAGAAGAAACATCAGATTTCATGGCACATGAAAGTTAATAGACTGTCATCAAACTGATCTTTTATTATCTTTCCTACTATTTTCACTCTAAAACCAGCAAAGAGTTCAATCTCCTACCTCAAACAGATAGAATTTGGCTGGTCCCTATCCTTACACCCAAGGAGTCAGTGACCTAAATTCACTTCTCAAGACACACTGCCAGGCACCCTGCATTCTGAGCAAACTGGTCTCTCAGCTGTACCATGAAGACACAGAAATACCTTCACTGGCTTTATTGTTCTTGCCTACCTTTCCCTGTGATCTAAACCCTTCCCACCCTCCATTCCATTCCAAATCCCTATCTCCCCAACCAACAAGGCTTCCCTAACTGCTTTGCCAAATGTTTCCCCAAGTGCATTCTCTGGAACAAAAACCCCAAGGGAAATCCTAGAAAAGGAAAACACTGCAGGCTCGATCCTCAGTTGGAGGCACAATGCAGGTATATGAAAGGCTCTGAGAAGTCCTGCAGTAAGGAGACCTATTTCTCTATTGCTTAATCTTTTCCAAGCTCATTAAGCACAGGATTTGTTTTGCCCACAGAACACACCAGCATCCAGAACGGGGCCTGGAATTTAGCATGTGTTAAAAGAATTTTTTTTTAAATGCTAACATCCCACAGAATCAGGGTTCTACAGAATACACTTTGGATATACCACTTCAATGCCTCCTGCTCTCCTTCTGCTCTGAGTTGTTTCCACATCACCTGTCCCACATTGTGTCTCACTAACCATCATGATCTTTATGGCTGTTATTTATTTAGCACCTGCAAAATAATGACCTGAGAAGTCTCATCTTCTGTAATCCTCGCAACCAGACCCTGAGATAGGTAATATTATTCTATGATTTCTATTTTGCCCTCCAAAAAATTAAACCCTGAGTCAAAATGTTTAAGCCACTAGCCTAAGATAAAGTAGAACATGAATTCAATATGGCATCAGTCTAACTCCAAGACTCAGGAACTTTCTTTTCCATCAAAACATCTCTGAATGATATATGACTGACATTGCTGGCGGCCCACCTTTCCCCTACACTAGTGCAACCTTGAATTTGTATGGAATGGCAACAGGTCTTCTAGGCAGTGACTCGTAATGTGACGTTCCTGCTTTTCCAACTCCCAGCCTCATTTGTGGATAGGATTAGCCCCTCTACCCCCAAGAAGACATAATGAAACATTATTGGTGGGGTGTCCTGGGGAAAATCTTTGCTTCTAGAAACCAAAAATATATACCTTTCATCCCTTCACACTCACCAGGTCCTCCTCTTTCCTGCTTTGAACCCAGATGTAACAGCTGGAGCTGCAGCAGCTATATTGCAGCCATAAGGGAAAGGCCATGAAAATTCCCAAAGACATCAGTCCTGATTTACTGACCTACTGAACCAACTCCAGCAGCTCCAGACCAACTCCAGCAGATTTGTGTTCCGTGTCAAAAGGAAACCAGTGGGCTGGAAGAGTGGCTCAAATGGTAAAGCACCTGCCTAGCAAGCATGAGGCCCTGAGTTCAAACCCCAATACCACGTTTTTAAAAAAGACAAAAGAAACCAGTACCTGCTTCACCATTTTTGTGGTTGGGTTTTTCATTTAATGCAGCCCAACGCATTCCTAGTAGACCCCCGTGCTGTTACTCACATCGTTGACTGTTTCAACTTCATCATTATTTCACAGAGATAAGATTAGCGTCACCTGTCAGCACGAAGCATGCTTCTTGAAAGACAAGTCCATGTTGTGTATTTTTGTTTCGACAGGAAGATATGTTACCAGATGTGGCTACCATCAATGTTTTCAGGGATGATCTATGTAATTTGTTACTAACACTGGTATTTACGAGCAGGGAATTGTCACAGTAAATAGCTGAAACATGACCTCTATCTCCTAATGGATTAGTGTCCATATGAAAACCCGTATCAGAAACACAAGATCTGTTTATTAAATGCAGATTCCTGAGCTCTCGCTCTCCAATCCCTACTGAGCTAGGTCTCTGTGGCTGGACGCTGAAAATGTACAGCTTTGATCTACAAAATTTGATAAGTGCTGGGGTATTAAAAATAAAAAAAAAAAAAACTCCATAGATCCAAATGTAAAGTTTGGCAAGACTTGACCCAAGTCACCAGCCTCCCCTCATGGACCCATCCCTTGGCCCTACAGATCTGAGAAGTCTAACTTGGCATAATTGTTCCAGAACAGTCTCTGGGTAATATGACTGAACTGGTTGCCATGCTCTGTGGTGTCCAGGACCAGAAGACTCAAACAGATACATTCCCTATAACCACAGCTCGTCCCCAGCACACCAATGCTTCCATCCCCATGTCAGAGGGAAAACCCGCTCTGTAGAAGCCACAGAATCCAGGTCTGCTACAACAAGCACCACTGCCCAGGGAGTTGTCAGGGGAGGTAGCAGGTGGAGAAGATGAAAAGTAAACTCTGGAGAAATGTACCCAGTAACTTGCAAACTAGCAGTTGGGGTTCCTGACTCCAGAAGATCAGAAGACATCCCAGGTGGCCTTTGGGACTCTTCTGATTTACAAAATCCTGTTCTGAACAGAATCTGCTCTTGAGCACCGTGCACACAGAGACAGAGGCTAGGGCCAATGCATCCCACACTTTTTCTTCCAGTAGCCAAGTGTTAGCCAAGCCTTCGCTCGCTCCAGATCTGAGAAAGGCAATACCTGTGCCTCCTAACACACCTCCCACTCCCCCAATCCCCCCTGACATTTATCTTATTTCATTCCAAGGATCGTGTTCCCAGACACAACAGGTGCACACAGACATACACACACCCAAGGGTAGCAAACATCATATTAAAATTCACCCACACACAAACTCCTCTTTCACAAGGATAACCTCCTTCGTGTTGACATCTGGCCAAGTTTAAAACCATGGAAGAAAAATAAACCAGAGAGGGACACTCGCCCAGGCAGAAGAGCTACAAGATTCAGTAAGCGCTGAAGAGTTCAGGCCTTGCAAACTCCTGGGCCTGAATTCTTCAGTGGAGATACCCACTCCAGCAACAAGGGAACCCCTTGACTCCCGGCTGCACTGCCAACACCCTCAGCAAGTGCCAGCGAACGGGTGTTTCCAAATTGAATCAAGCCATGTGGACAGCCGGGCCATTTTGAGGGAAAGAAATGAGCTGAATCTTTCAGATGTTTTGAACAGTTTGAATGCCCAATGATTTCATTAACACCAAGGCATCTTCCATAGTTCCTGAAACCTTCCTTGTCCCAATGGCCTTTGGAAGGAAAGATTTCTGCCATCTTCTTTGGGAGGAACTCCGTGTGTATCCCCTGACCCTTCCCACCCCTCCGAAAACTGCTTCAAACTTCCCTTCAAGTTCACTTGGAAACATGCCAGAGAACTCCACTCCCGGACCCCTTCCATGAGGTCTCATCACAATCCAAGAGGTTTGCCCAGTGTGTGCTGTTCATGGCATGATCGTTTTACCTTTTTACACATTTTTCAGGCCTGCAATAACTCACTGCATCAAGACGATTATTTTGGAAATGGTTAACTCAATGGGTTTTGGTTTTGGTTTTGCTCCTTTTTTCATGCATTTTGCTTCCAAGCATGCATATCACGGCGGGTGGAGGGGGATCCACGGAGGCTGAGGAGGAGAAGTGAGGGACAAGATCTACATGGACAGACCGCCCCATCCTGCCAGTAAAATCCACCTTCTGACCACCTGCAGAATGCGCAAGGTCACGTGGGTTCCCTGCAGATCCAGAAGGTATTATCAAGCACACAACCCCGTGGCATATAAACAAATCCACCAGCGGAAAAACGACAAACTCCCTCCTTCAAGAGGAAACGAATGATCATGGTAACCGCTGCACCCGTGATAATAAATAAGGAATAACAATTACGACTGCTACTACCACCGCCCAGCCAAATACAGACAACAGCCGCACAGTAAAGGGACATCCAACGCAGGGCACCAATCGCGCCCACCTGGTGACCCATCCCCCGCCCTCCTGCCCCCGACAAACAGAATCCGAGGAGAAGGGGTTGGTGGAGGGGGGGGGAGGGCAGGGAAAGAAGGATCGCTTTTTGTCCATAGGCAACACCTACCTCCAGGGTCCGGATCTCTTTCTGTGTGAGGTCGTTGGAGGTGGCACATTTGGTCCTAAGCCCTTCCAGGTTGGAGATACTCAAGTCTATCATGTTTTGTACCAACTCGCACTGTTGTAAGGCTTTCTGCAAACTCAGAGGTTGTTGCTCCTCGCTTTTCGTCATGTTTTCCTCATCCATCGCTTGGTCTGTAACCCCCCTTCCCCTCCTCCTCCTCCTCCTCCTCCTCCCAAAGAGAAAAAAAGGGGGGAGGGAGTAGAGGTAGAGGGAGTCTACCCCTCCGCCTCTCCAAACACTGCGACTTCTCACCAGTGTCTCGTGAAGAAGAAACCCAACATCTCACACAGGGTTCAGGGGGTGGGGGCGGGAGGAGGGGACAAGAGCCAAAATTTATTATTTTATTTTTGGGGTATCAGACATTAGAATGTCTCCTCTCTCTCTCCTCTCTCTCCCTCTCTCTCCTCTCTCTCTCTCTCTCTCTCTCTCTCTCCTCTCTCTCTTTTTGAGTCTCTGGTCCGTGAAAAGGAGAGATGCCGTTTCTCAGAAGCGAACCAGGTGATGTGATGCTGTCTGAACACTTAGGGAGGAGGAGAAAAAAAAAAGAGGAGGAGAAGAAAGAGGAGGAGGGAGGAGGAGGAGGAGAGAGAAAAAGAGAGAGAGAGAGAGAGAGAGAGAAGGAAAATAGCGCTCACTCTTTACACACCGGCTCCGTGATGGACAGAATTATATGTATATATATTTGGCTGGCTGGCTTTTATGTCAAAAAAAAGCGACTTTGCCCCCCTCCCAGTCGCAGTGACACGGCATGGTCCGCCGCGGGGAGTGCTTTAGCGCGTTCTCGGGATGCCGTCCGCCCTGCTCCCGCGGCTGCGGCGGCTACTGCGGCTGGCTGCGGTGTCCTCCCCGCGCTGCTGCTGCTGCTGCTGCTGCTGCTGCTGCTGCTGCTGCTGCGGCCGCCGCCGGGCTCCGGGGGTGACGGCAGCTGCTGCAATCGCTCCTGCCTGGCTCCACACCGACATCTTGCCTGTCAATCAAAGGGCGGGGGTGGGGGAGCGAGGCGGCGCGGAGAGGGATGGAGCGAGCGAGGGACCTGCGGGGAGCGGGTTGGTGGAGCGGCGCCGTGCGCGCAGCCGCCCGGTTCCTCGGCGCGCAGGGGACCCGCTCGGGGAGGCGCGCGCAGAGGCTCGCGCACCTGGCCACCCGAGGGGCGCGGGGAGCGGGGGCGGGATTTCTCGGGGCTGCGGAGCTAGCGTGGCAAAGTGGATTACTACCCGGCGTGCGAGCGAGCGAGCGAGCGAGCGAGAGAGAGAGAGAGAGAGAGCGATCGGCGGGCGGGGGCGCGGGGCAGCGCGCACGCCGGGCTCCGGCTGCTCCCAGGGCGGTGGAGATGGCTGGGAGGGTGGCGGAGCGCGGAGGGAGGCCGGGCGAGGGGGCGGGGAGAGGTAGTTGGGGGCGGGGTGGGGGTGGGGGTGGGGGGTGGGGGAGCCCCACTACTACCGCCCGGCTCTCGCGAGACGAGGCCGGAGTACAGCTCAGCAGGTGCGCTCGGGCGGGGAGCAGGTGTGCGCCCAACTTTAAAAGCCCGGGTGCGCGCTGGAGACTCAACGCCGTGGACCTGGGCACGTCCTCTCGGTCTTGTTGGCTCGCTGTGCGCCTGTCTTTTCGTTCTTTCTTGTTAGTGGAGAAAAGAAAAAACAAAAAACTGATGATGTTCCCTGAGCTGAAGGAAGCTGTCTCCCCGACCTGGCACCTTGGCCTGCCCTGGTGGCTGTCGTTTTTGCAGGGTGAGGAGCAGGGGCTTTGCCTTATTCTGATTGTTACCTTGTCCTACCCTCACGGCCAGGTCTGACTCCAGACTTGGAGTTATTCATATATATAAAATCAGCAAACTGTGATACCAAGAATGGTTTTTATATTTTAAAAGAGTTGGGAAAAATAAAAGGGAGAATATTTGGTGATCTGGGAAAATTGTATGAAATTTACATTCCAATGGCCAATAAATAAATAGCTATTGGAATCCCACCGCCCCTTTGCATGTTCTCCGTGTTTACTTTTGCCCTATGACAGTAGAGTTGAACAGTTACAACAGAAACTGGCTAACGACACCTAAAATATTTACTGCCTGCTCAGTCCAGAAAAGCCTGCCAACTCCTGATTAAATACCTGTACTGTCTATCCACTCTGCCCGGACCACACTTCACCCTAATCCTCTTCTGGCTGTCTCCTTCTGATCATTCAGCGTCAAGTCAAATGTCATCTCAGAGAGGTCTCACCTCTCTGGCCACCTGATCTAATAGTATCCTCAATTAATTGCCCAAAGGATATATTTAGAATAATTATATTCTAAATACACACCTGTATCCCCAGCTACTTTGGAGGCAGAAGCAGGAGGATCACTTGAACCAAGGAGTTTGAAGCTAGCCTGGGCAACATAGTGAGATCCACCCCACCCCACCCCCAAAAGAAAAAAAAAATTAGCAAAAGGCGCCTTTTTCTATCAGTGAACAGAGCCCCAGAGTGCTAAGGAACTGTGCTTATGGGGCAGTGTGAGACTCAGAACATATGGCATAATATGTCATCCCTGAAAGAAGCCACTGAGAAGTAAAAAGAACAGACGCCAGTGATGGCCAAGTTGGATGGCAAATTTATTATTTTTTTAAGTCTATATTCCAAGGGATTTTATAACTCATACGGGCTGAATGACCATTTTCAAAATTTCTCTGTTGGGCTCAGTGGTAGAGCATTTGTCTAGCACGTGTGAGGTCCTGGGTTTCAGCCCCAGCACAGCAAAAACAAAAAACACAACCTATGAGTCAATGAAGTCAGGTGAATTCCCTAGGCAACCAGTTTTTTTGGACCTTGAAGTTTCTGGATTTGGATTTCAATTCTATGGTAAAATTCTCTCTCTTTTCATCTATTTTCTCCATCTTTTTGTTCTTCTTGAACTTAGAATTCGTGGTTATTTTAAAGCCCTTGTTTAGCTCTGATATCTTGTTCACCCATGGGTCCCTTTCTGTTGACTGTTTTTCTCTTTGCTTCCAGTGATTTGGTCCTCTCTGTTAGCATGCCTTTTCACTTTTTATTGAATACCTGCATTTGGAGCACATACTCTGCAAGACAGATGGTTAGGGACTGGTTATTCCACCTATCTTTGTCATCCAGGGTTTCCAACTGAGAATCTTGAGTTCCCTTTCCTTGGTCCTAAGCACTAGTACTTGTCCCCAAAGCCTGGCAAGACTGGTAAACTCTGCTCTGTTTTTCAGGGATTCTCTGCTTGACTTCTCAGCCTCTTATTCTGAGCTGTATTCTTGATGAATATCTAAATGAATATATCCTAATAAAAAATTTATAATAAAAAAAATCTTAGCCAGGTGCCAGTGACTCACGCCTATAATCTTAGCTACTCAGGGGGGCAGAGATCAGGAGGATGGTGGTTCAGCCCAGGCAAATAGATCGCAAGACCCTATCTCTTTTCTTTTTTTTTTCGTTTTTTTGGTGCTGGGATCAAACCCAGGGCCTCACACATGCTAGGCAAGCTCTGTACCACTGAGCTACATCCCAGCCCTGCAAGACCCTATCTCAAAAAAACCCTTCACAAAAATAGGGCTGGTGGAGTGGCTCAAGGTGAAGGCCCTGAGTTCAAACCCTAGTACCTCCAAAAATAATAATAATTATAAAAGTCTTGAGTGGGAAAACTGCCATCCATCAAATGTACTTTCTTCCTGGCAGAGTGGCTCAAGTGGTAGAGCACCTGCTTAGCAAGTGTGAGGTCCTGAGTTCAAACCCCAGTGCCCAGTGTCACCAAAAAAAAAAAAAATTTATGAGCCTTATTTTCTGTCCCTCCCTTTTCCCTGGTGACTAGTCTCCAAACGCCCAGTTTTGTGTCTCCAGCCCTATGAGATGACCAGAAGTTCTGCTGGTTTTTCTGTCTCCAGCAGCAGCTTCCCTACCTGGGAAAAGTTTAGATTTTCCCCACCACACACACCCACACCCTGCTTTCCTCGCACCCAAATTTGTAAATGCTCTGGGGAGAAACATGGCCACAGAATGTCAGCTTTGTAATTCCTCTGTCCCCAGAATCTTGGCCCCTTCTGGTCCTGGTTACTTCCACAGCTCTCTTAAAAAATTAAGATATTGGTGGTGGTACTAGTGGTGCTGGTGGTAGTGATGATGATGAAGAGGAGGAGGAGAAAGCGGGAGAAAGAGGAAGAGGAGAAGGAGGAAGATTTGACCTGGCTTTACTAGGTGTTCTCAGAAGGAGTAGAAATTTAAACAATCAAAATATCTTAAGTCAGAGGTCATCAGTTGGCAGAGCTGTAAGGAATACACAAATGCTTATCCTTCCTATGTTCGAAAACACCTCACATTGTAAGTCTCACCCCTGCATAAGAGAAACCAAAGGAATTTTCCAGAACCATCCTTGCAACTATGTTCCACATGATTTGGACTCAGCTTTAGTGAGAAACAAAAGGGAGAAATCTCTGTGATGATAAGCCAGTGTACCTGCTTCCCAGCACTGGCCCAGAGTGAGCCCCAGTGTGTACACCGACAGGTGTGCCATGGTGAGCTGTGGCAGCCCCACAGTTGGTATGGGTCCCATTCTTGCTCACAGAGCCCAAGGCAGGCTCTCCTGTCCTCCTGGACACTCTCTGGGCTTTCTAACCACCTGTCCTATACTTCTGAGGCTGCCATACCAAAATGGCAGGGACTGGGGATAGAGCTTAGCACTAGAACGCTTGGCTAGCAGGCACAAGGCCCTGAGTTCCATCCCCAGCCCTGTCCAAAAACAAATGAAGATTAAACAGGATAAATTTATTTTCTTCTTACAGTTCTAGGGGCTGCAAGTCCAAAAGCAGGGAGCAGGGTATCAGTGGTGAGGTGAGGGCTCTCACATGATGAAGCTGTGTGTGTGTGTGTGTGTGTGTGTGTGTGTGTGTGTGTACGTGTATCTCTCTCTCTCACACTTTCCTTCACACAGACACACAGACACACACACACACACACCGGGCCACAGTTCTACTGTCTTAAGACTACACCTGCCAGATACAGTCACCCTGAGCGAGCTAAGGGCTTAACATACATACGGGGATGTGTTGTGTTCTACCACAATACAATTCATCATCCCTCTGTTAAATTCACCACCTTCTGCTCAAACCGCCTGGAGTAGATTGTCAATTGCA